CTCTTAATGCGGGACAGGATCCCTTTGGCCTTCTTGGCCATGAGGGCACACTGCTGCCTCATGGTTAACTTGTTATCAGCCAGGACTCCCAAACCCCTCTCCGCAGAGCTGCTTTCCAGCAGGTCAACCCCTAATCTGTACAGGTGCCTGGGGTTATTCCTGCCCAGCTGCAGGACCCTGCCCTTGTCCTTGCTGAACCTCATGAGGTTCCTCTCTGCCCCACTCTCCAACCTGTCTAGTTTCCTCTGAATGGCAGCCTAGTCCTCTGGAGTGTCAGCCGCTCTACCCAGTTTGGTATTGTCCGCAAACTTGCCGAGGGTGCCCTGTCCCCTCATCCAAATCACTGATGAACAAGTTTATCACCACTGGGCCCAGTGCTGACCCTTGAGGGACATCACTGGTCACAGCCCTCCAACTAGACTTGGCCCCATTTATCATCACCCTCTGAGCTCTGCCATCCAGCCACTTCTCATCCACCTCACTGTCCACTCATCTAACCCATCTAACTTCTGCAGCTTTCCTATGAGGATGTTACAGGAGATGGTATTGAAAGCCTTACTGAAGTCAAGGTAGACAACATCCATGGCTCTCCCATCATCCATCCATCCAGTCATCCCATTGTAGAAGGCTGCCATGTTCGCCAAACATGACTTCCCCTTGGTGAATCCATGCTGACTACTCTTGATCACCTTCCTTTCCTTGACATGCCTAGATTTATGGGTGTCCACAATCTCTAACCCAATCCTCCTTGACCAGTGGAAAGTCTTCCTCTCCCGCTTTTCTCTCTTGTGTGTGGGCCCTATATTTCATGGGGACAAGCCTTAGCAGTAGACTGAAGCAAAAAGACATTGAGTAACTCTACCTTCTCTGTATCATCCATTACCAAGGCACCCACCCCATTCAGCTGTGGACCCATTTTTTTTTTCCTAGTTTTCCTCTTGCTGCTTAGGTATTTGTAGAAGCCCTTCCTGTTGTCTCCAACATCTCTTGCTAACTCTAATTCCAAACAGGCCTTGGCCTTCCTTGTTGCATCCCTGCATTCTTTGACAATGTTCCTATGTTGTTCCCATATGGTCTGGTCCTTCTTCCACATTGTGTATGCTTTGCTCTTCTCTTTAAGTTTTCCCTAGAGCTCCTTGCACATCCACACAGGTCTCCTGCCCCACCTTGCGCAACTTCTTTCTTTTTGGAATGCACTGATCCTGAGCTTGGAGAAAGTGGTGCTTGAATATCAGGCAACTCTCCTGGACCCCCTTTCCTTCTAGGGGATTCCTCCAAGTTGGTTCCTGAAAAGGTCAAAGTTCTAGAAGTCCCGCATTGCAAGTCTACTTCTTGTCCAGCTTCCTCCTCGCATGATCGTGAATTCCAACACCTCACGGTCACTGCAGCCAAGACTGCTCCCAACTTTCACATTTCCAACTAGACCATCTCTGTTTGTTAGTATCATGTCTAGCAGTGCCCCTCTCCTTGTTGGCTCATCTACCACCTGCATCAAGTAGTTATCTGCAATGTTCTACAGGAACCTCCTGGACTGTCTGTTCCTAGCAGTGCGGTTATCCCAGCAGACATTGGGGTGGTTGAAGTCCTCTGTAATGACCAGGGCTTGTGATCATGAGGCTTCTTGTAGCTGCCTGTAGAAGGTCTTATCCACTTCCTCTTCCTGGTCAGGAGGCCTGTAGCAAACACCTGCCACAGCATCACCCATGTTGACCTGCCCTTTAATCCTCACTCACAGGCTCTCAACTTGTGCTTCATCCTCACCTATGCTGAGCTCCATACATTCCAGTTACTCTCTCATGTAAAGAGCAACTCCGCCACCTCGCATTCCTGGCCTGTTCTTCCTAAAAGCCTAAAGCCATCCATGGTTACATTCCAGTCATGAGAGCTGTCCCACCTTGTCTAAGCAATGAGATCGTTGCTCAGCTATTGCATACACATCTCCAATTCCCCTTATTTATTCCCCATGCTGTGTGCATTTACATAGAGGCATTTTTGTTGGACACCCAACATACCTCTCCTTCTAGCTGGGGCAGATGTAACTTGACTATGTGGGCCTTCAGTAGTTCTCATATTTTGCTGTTTTCCCTCTCCAGGCTTCGGGCATCCTTCACTGGCTCTGGAGTTAGGCTGGTGAGAGTGGCATGGCAGGTCATCCCCTAACTTATCACCTGTTTCCCTGATGATGCCCCCCCAGAGGTCACAAGTGACCCCCCCCAGGTCACAACTCTGGACCAGCTACCACTGTGTGGGAGTGTCAGTATGTGAGGCACACACTGGTATCCCAGGGGATCACAGGGCCAGTACTGGCTAGACTGAACAGTTAAGGCCAATTACTGATGGGATCCATAGTGTTTGTATGCATGCATATGCATGCATGAAGGGGTCTAAGTACGAGCCACTGGAATGGGGCTGTAGGACTCAGGGGTTCATATGTCTGGATGTCAGCAGGTGGGAAGACCAAGGGATCCAGGTGCTAGCTACTGCAGAGACTGTGAGACTGTGTTAAGACTAGCTACTTGTAGAGACCCATTTTGTGTATATGTATATATTTTTTACTAACAGACTTTCATCAGGCTTTCAACAATTAGAGAACAAGTTTTTGACATTTATGCTGTCTCTATTTGCATGAGTGCTTCATTTTCTGTGTGGCTAGCTGTTTTGTGTGTGTGTGTGTGTGTGTGTGTGTGTGTGCGCGCATATATGTGTGTATATAAAGAGATGGGTGTGTACATATGCACCCAACTGGGAATACACACTCAGACTTCCTACAGGCTGTACCTGGGGGTGTGGGTCTGGGCAGGTTCACCTCTACCAGCTATAGATTCAGCAGTTCCTAACAGTCAAAGTTGGAAGGACCGCTGATGACCTTCCAGTCCAACACTTGCTCAGAGCAGGTGCAATCAAAACAGGTTGTTCAGGGCTGTGCTCAGTTAGATATCAGTATCTCCAAGGACAGAATTGCTACAGCCTCACTGGGCAACTTGTCCAGTGTTCAACCATCCTCACAGTAAGTTTTTTAATTATTATTATTACATTCAAATGGAATTCCTTGCATTTCAGCTTGCACCCATGATTCTTTTCATTTTGGAGGGATATTACTGAGTCTATATGCTTCTGCTGTAGAGGCTTTTTCTAAAACAGCTCAGGATACTGCTGGCCTTCTTTGCTGCAAGGCCACATTACTGGCTCACGTTCAAGTTGTCCACCAGGACCTGCAGGTCTTTTTCTGCAGAGTTGCATCCCAGCTTTTCAACCCACATTATGTATTAATGCATAGAGTTATTCCTCCCCAAGTGCAGAGCTTTGCTTTCTTTTTTTTTTTTCTTTTTTTTTTTTGGGGGGGGGGGAGTGGGGTGGGGCAAGAGCGGGGGAGGTTGCATTTTCTTCATGAATCTGCCCAGTTCTCCCATCTGTCAAGGTCCCTCTGAATGGTGGCTAAACCCTCTGGTGTATCAACCACGCCTTCCACTATTGTATCATCTGCAAGGCTAGGACGAAGTTTATGTATGTGTGAGGCATGATCATATCTTGCATAAGCTCCATTGCAGCTTATCTTCTAGCCTTGGTATCTGCCATGCAGCAACTTTATCTATACTTCATGTTCAAAACACCTATTTAGCAAGATCAAACTTTACTGATACACTAACAAGACTTGTAATAAGAGCTAATCCTGTCAGCTGTGTCTCTTTCTATAGTTGCAGTGACTTGAGCAGATGAGCTAGAGCAAGTAGCTCATGGTTCCTTGTGTATGCCTTCTACTTGTCTTAGTGAACAGAAAACAGCCTTCTTGTTTTTAGTTACTTTGCTTCTTATCCTTTCTTGGTAAGGAAGATCTTCCCAGGAGCAGAAGTATTATACAACTTTGAAAACACTGACAGGCATCTACAGCTGTGATTGACGGTACTGTGATGCACTCGCCCGCTTCACCAGCCTAGACGTAGCTCAGGTGCTGGAAAATGATTCTTGAGGTGAGTGCAGCTGATTTCCTAGGTAGAATATGAGTTTTGTTGTTGTTGTTGTTTTTTTTTTTTAACGCAGTCTTAGGATCATCAGAATGAGATTTTTTTTTTTCCTTGAACAGTGTCTCCTTCAGCAGCTGGCAGTATTGCTTGTATGTATTTCATTGTCATATAGGAGCTAGTTCCTAATACTTATCACTGTTTAGGGGTAAATAAAGGTGCTATACAAGGATAGTCTTGGCTAATGGATGGATACAGCTGTAACTGTTTTTGTTATTTTTTGTTTGTTTTTTACAAAGTGATCAGCTGTACATGCATCCTTTAGTCTTACTGATACTCCATTTGCACATTAAAACTGCAGTTAAAGGGGCTATCATACACAATCTTGGCTGAACCATCTAAACATGGATCTAAGTACTCCACTAGAGCTTATTATGTATATACATACACACTAAAGCAAAGTTCCCAATAATACTTGAGATAAGCAAAAGAACGCTAACACAGATTGCTTTGCCACAAGTTTATTTACAAAATATTATTTACAGTCTATAGCACCTCTGTCTTTTGCTCTGATAAATAATATTTCCTCCACAGAGAAGGAATAAGACAGACCACCTCTGCACATGTTACAAAAACCCTATCCAGCCAAACATTGCTATTCCCTCTTTTAAAAAGAGTCAGTAAAAAATGGGAACTTAAAGGGTTTTGTGTCATGGCACAAGGAAGGTATTAAGCAGGTTGGAGAGATGCAAATTTCTCTGCTGAAGTGTGCATGTGCAGGACAGCAATATGCAGAGGTTACATAATCACTTGAGTTAAAGCAGAGTGGGCTGCTACTTACCATCTTCCCTTCTCTCCCCCCACCCCTTTTCCCCCCTAAAAAGTAGTACACCATGGCTTGGTGGTGTTTTAGGCAATAATAAATGAAATAAAAAATATACCCCTTAGCAGCAGCCTTGTGGAAGACTTATGTTATTCCCATTATGAAATAAGGAAGATGGAAGGCTGCTGAAATGATGAAGAAAGGACACTAGGGAGTGAATGGGCACAGTCTCCATGGGTCTGTGTCCCTGTGCATGTTCCCTGAAGGTCCACTTTATCTGAAGCTTTGTCTCCAGTATTAAAACATCATTCTCTTTAATTGTTCATAGTCCTATGTTTGTGTGTGATTTCACTGAAACTCCTGTATGTGGACTACAGGGATTATTTAGTGCTGCACAGACCACATTACAGAAGACAGGGCTGGTAACAGATTCTAAGACCAGTGCCCTGAAAAGGGACTGCCAGATGCTTTGGTGCTAAAGCAAGGAGAACAGAAATGAGAGCAGGTGGTGTTTTCTCATGAGTCTTTTCAGTCCTGGTTGTTTTCCTCCGCTTGTTTCAGTCACTCATTTGGAAGCAATTGCCATAGGAATGATTCCAAGTGATGTCTGCTAGGACTGGGCATTTGTGAAGCTTAAGAGAACACTGACGGATCACTCTTTAAAGCCTTGTATACTGCAAAGGATCCTCTTCTGGTGGCCTGGAAGTGACACTCCCATCTGCTTCAAGTCTCTGAAGGAAATGGGGAAAGAAATAAAGAAAGAAAACATGAATTGCTGATTTTGTTTCATGTGGACTGGAATGTGGGGTAGGACAGAAACAGTTATCAAACACTAATTCAGACAGCTTCCTTCCTCTCAGTGCCTTCTGCCTCCTACTGCCTTTTACTTTTTCCCTGGAGAGAAGAAATCTCCCTGTGTTACTCCACTTCTTCAGAGAATGGCTGTCTATCTGGACCCAGTCAGTTGGTTTCTCCTGCCTATAAAGCTAAGCCTATGCTCCCAGTGAATTAGCATTACATCCAGTTCAGCTGCAATATGGGTTGATGTGAGTGCAGAGCAGCTCAGGCCCCTGAAGAACCTCAAACATGGATAGTTAAAGAATTAGTCCCACAGCTTGGGCTGATCCTGGTTCTTTCCTTTTAGAGCAAGAGGCTGGTCCACTTCCATATAACACCTCAGAGAAGGATGTGGATTGAAACTTTCCAGGTAAATATAAGTCCCTGATCAGACAGCACAAGAGCAGCAACAGTTACTGGCATAACCTAGGATGCCTTGTGAGAGCTTAGCTTGCCCTTACTCAGCAGTGAGCTCCAGGATAGACTCCATGGTGTCAAGGCCAGCAGTGCGAAAGTTGGAGATGTAGCGCTTCATGCGAATGGATTCCAGCCACTCCGGAATGGATCTATAGGGGATGCCATCTGACCCACTGCAGCTGGGGAGCCGAAGTGTTACCCTGGAGACAGAGAAAATGCTCATTAGCCAGGCAGCTATCTCAAATGGCCAGTAGCATGAGACAGTAGCTAGAGGGCAAACAGCTCCTGTCAGAGCTAGGCCAACTTATCTGCTCTGCACAGTGAGATCAGACTGCCCAGGGCAACAGCTGTGCACTGTGTCACACAGGAGAGAGATTACTACCTTCTTCACATAGAGCATTCAGCATGCCTCTCACCAGCCTGCATTGCCAGCATTATCTCTCCTTCTGTTGGAGCCAGGGAGAAGATAATCTTTCCTCCAAAGACAATATGGTTACCTGGGATCAAAATCTGCAACGGGCCGGAGGAGGTGGGGACTAGAGATGAAATGTTGCAGCTGTGCCCGTATCTCCTGAAAATGAGGCCTCCTTGATCGATCATGTGACCAGCAGCTCTTCATGAGCTCATAGAGGATAGATGGACAGTCCACAGGTGGTGGGAGCCGGTACCCATCCTCTAAACTTTTCATCACCTGTACAGAGGACAGGGACAAGAGTTACCAAAAAGAGCAGGTACAAAAGAGGAACCAGAGACCTCAGGGGCTAGGAGCAGGCAGCTAACATTTTGCAGTGAGGAAGTGGGTTGAAACCGGTTATATGTGCATAAAGTAAGATATTGGGCAGCACAGCAAAGGATCAGGGGGTGTCAAAAAGTGAAGTGGCAGGTATAGCTGTTTTCAGTCTTTTTATTACTTTTTTTTTTGGCTATTCAGGCATCTATTCATGAGAAGTGAGGACCAAGAGATTGCTGAGACAGATCCATTGAGAAAAGGGGAACCAGGTTCTGGGAAGTAATTTCAGCAGCACATCCTAACTTCACTGAAGTCCTGAACATACCTGAGAAGAGTATGAGGCTAAAGATAACACTCTAAACCACAGGGGAAGAGGTGAGAGAGTAACCAGCAGAGAACATCTCCAGGACAAAGGCCTTGGCTGGTATACCTAGCCTTTAATTTGGCTTTTTGCTGTCAAAGACTGAACCTAGGTCAGGGGTTGAGAAACCTATCATTCTCAGCTTGGTTGCACTGATTTTTAGCAGAGAAAGGGACATAATAGTTTTATGTTCTGAAGGAAGGCCAGGTAGAGAGAGGTCTACATGCTTTTTTATCTCTTTAAATCAGCACTTCAACTCAAAATTTGTTACCTCTTGATTGGTCATGCCCCCGTATGGTTTGTCACCAAAAGACAGCACCTCCCACATGACAATTCCAAAGCTCCAGACATCACTGGCTGAGGTGAAAATCCGATGGGCAATGGCTTCTGGGGCTGTCCATCGGATGGGAATCTTACCACCCTGTGAAAGAGCACAGACATGCTTAGCCAACACTTATCATTAAGCTGTACTTTTCCAGTACTTCTGAACAAGGAGCTTGCAAAGTGTTTTATAGACTGGGACTATGTCACTCCAAATGACGTATAATCACTTCTAGGAAAAAATCCCAACAGGACAGAAACAATCTTGGAAAGTAAATGAGTTTAAGCCCTCTCTTCTGTCAAATGCTACACAGAAGCACTGCTGCAGGATTAAGAACCTAGTACCAATCACAGTCCACCTTCAAATGACACCAGACATTAGAATCACAGGAGCTCTGGCTGAAAGCTCAACCCAGGGAACTACACACCCAAGGAACTAAAGGTCAGTCAGCCTCACCTTGATCCCTGGGAAGATGATGGCGCAGCTCATCCTGGATGCCATCTCTAAGCATATGAAGGACAAGAAGATGATCAGGAGTAGTCAAAATGGATTCACAAAGGAGAAACTGACTTAACTAATCTGATAGCCTTCTCTGTTGGACTGACTGGCTGGGCTAATAAGGGCAGAGCAGTGGATGTTGCCTGCCTTGACTTCAGTAAGCCTTTTGATACTTTCTCCCACAACATCATAGGCAAGCTGATGAAGTACGAGCTAGATGAGCAGACAGGGAGGTGGACTGAAAACTGAATGGCAGAGTTCAAAGGATTATGATCAGTGGCACAAGAGTAGTTGGAGGCCAGTAAAGAGCAGTGTACATCAGGGATCAATGCTGCATCCAATCCTGCTCAATTTATTCATCAGTGACCTGGATGAAGGCAGAGAGTGCACCCTTGCCATTTTGCTGATGATACAAAGCTGTGAGGGGTAGCTGATACAGAAGCACAGGGAAGGCTTCCATTCACCTTGACACACTGGAGAGTTGCATGGGGTGGAACCTCCTGAAATTCAACAAAGGCAAATGCAAATGCAGATTCCTTCCCTAGCTAGGAATCCACCAGTACAGTTAGGGGCTGGCCTGCTGGAAGGCAGCTCCACAGAGAAGGATCTGGGAGTCCTGGTGCACAATGGCACAATGAGTTGACCATGAGCCAGCCACATGCCCTTTGTAGCAAAGAAGGTCAATGGGGTACATCAGGCACAGTGTTGCTAAAGGTCAAGGGAGGTGATCGTTCCACCTCTGCTCAGCCATGATGAGGGCACAACTGGAGAGCTATGTCCAGCTTCCCAATATGAGGGAGATAGGGAGCTACAGGAAAGAGTCCAGCAAAGGGCCACTAAGATGATTAGGGGACTGGAGCAGCTCTCATTTGAGGATAGGTTAAGAGAGCAGGAACTGTTCAGCCTGGAGAAAGACGACTGGGGCAGACCTTATCAATATGTTTAAATATCTGAAGAGGGGATGTAAAGAGGATGGGGCTAGACTCTTTTCAGTGGCGCCTAATGGCAGGATGAGAGGCGATAGGCACAAACTGAAAAATAGGAAATTCTGCATGAACAAGATGAATTTTTTTTTTTTTTACCGTGAAGGTAACAGAGTTCTGGAACACCCCAGAGAGGCTGTGGAGTCTCCCTCCTTAGAGATACTCAGCACCTGACAGAATAGGGTCCTGAGCAATGTGAACTTGCTTGAGCAGGGGGATTGGTCCAGATGATCCATAAAATTCCCTTTCAACATCTACTGTTTGGTGATTCTGTGAAAGAGACTTGTAGATATCTCTAGTCCAGAGCCCTTCTCCCAGCAGGACTATCTTTAAAGTCAGATCTAGTTAACATCAGATTCCTAGTTCTGCTTCTCATCTCAAAAACAGCATTCCCTGTGCCAGTAATCTGCTAGGAAACAAAATAACATGCACTCCAGACAGAAAAGCACTACCTTCTGAATCATGCACAGAATGACTTGCAATTTTACTCTGGGTTTTCCTCTGAGATTTTCCATCCAAATCCTCCCCTGGCCTGATATTCCTCATTGTGAAGAAATTCTGTCATTCTCACCTGGCAAAATCCCCATCCCCCTGAGACTGCAATTACACTTACAAGATTGAGACCTTTTATCTCCAGAAATTACTTTTGCATTACCTTAGTTTCATAGGTTCCCTCTGCATCATTCTCCAATATTCGGGAGAGGCCAAAGTCAGACACCTTGCACTGAAGGCTGCGTGTTACAAGAATGTTGCGAGCAGCTAGATCGCGGTGCACATAGCTGTGTTCTGAAAGGTAGGTCATGCCAGAGGCTATTCCCTGCAACATGCTCACAAGCTGCACAGGGCTGAATTTTTCCTCATTCTCCTGCATGGAAGAAGAAACAAGAGAAGACTCTGGTCAAGTGACATCAATCTGCTGATTTCTGGTTACTGTCCTTAACAACTTGCTAAGGAGGACACTGGCAAACAAGCAGAAAGGCAGCGCTGCAGGTGCTTGCTAAGGGAGTCATCTTTAGGCACTCAAGCTACCCAAGACAGCAGTTTGGACATGGAGCAACTGCTGAAACTGGAAATGCAATTGTCAGTAAGCAAAAATTAAGTGAAGGTTAGTACATTATTTTTAGTTTTCTCCCAGGGACCTAAACCCAGGTCAAGTGCAAGTTCCAGCAGTTCACAGGCCTGTTACAGATCTGAGACTCTCACCCGGAGGAAGGTATCCAGTGCTCCATTCTCCATATATTCAGTTATGATCATCATCGGCCTCCCTTGCGGAAGAGAAGAAGACATCATCCTTTTTGCACTTCTCCTGCTCTTACCTTTCAGCACTCTCCACAATCCTCCCAAACAGAGAACCACATCCAGTCCCAACCAACATCCCCATCCAGTGGCACAGCTGGCTGTTCTCTCCCCCTTAAAACTCCCCAAATGATGTTGTACTCCTCCCTCTCTGTCATACACATGACCTTAAACCATCCTTTAAATTATCCCACCTCCTCATCCACTCACCAATCCAAGAAAACCTCTGCTAACAGAACCTCATGATTCCATTGGAAAATTATACCTCTCCCTTCCTCTTTCTCTGCCACATGACAGTGCCTGTCTTCTCCCAGCACGGCCTCCTTGACAGCTGTCTCTCTAGGAAAGGCTCTGCCTTCTTCAGCCTTCTGCTCTTATTCCAGAACTCTCTCCCTGAACTCTTACTTTTGGTAACAACCCCTTCCAGATGCACAATGTTTGGATGATTGAATTGCCCCATAATTGTTGCCTCACGCAGAAAGTTCCACCACTGAGAGTCTGAATATGTTGACTTTAGGGTCTTGATGGCAACCACAATCCGTTCTTTCCCTGGAAGGCGTAGGGACCCACGATAGACTTCCCCAAATTCTCCTGTGGACAACCAAAGACACAATGTCAAAGAGAAACTGAGGAACTGAAAGCCAGATAGTAGTGTGGGTGAGCTGAAAGATGGGGAGACACAAGGAACTCACCCTCCCCAATTACATTCTCCATGGTGACACAAGAGACATCCAGTTCCTTAATGAATTCCAGCACTCCTCTGCTTGGATCATCATATGGTTGCAGGTCTACATAGGGCTTCAGCCAGACCTTCTCTATGGCAAAAGAAAACAGAAGAGCAAATTAACCTGCTAACTTTTTGGGCAAACTTTGCAGGGCTGCATGCACAGATTTGCTACAAGAAAAGTGGACAAATGTACCAAACATGTCATGGAAAGAGACAAATCACATCAGAAGATCCAAGCGAGCATCTGGTTTGAAGCTACTATTTCTTTTCATTTCTTTCAACCCACTCCAAGCTTCTTGATGGTTCCATTGTCCCTAGCAATGGGCACAACCCCTTTGAGCTCACCTCGATCAAAGCCTGAAGTACTGTAATCTGGCCGTGATTGCCTCTGACGAGCCCGCCTGGAAGTCATGAAATAATTACGAAATATTCATTAAGCAGAAATGACCAACAGACAGCAAAAAGAAAAGTAAAACTTTGAGGGCATCTGCCCTGTCTGTCAGGATCACAGCTCTCAGTAGTGCAGGGCAAAGTAGAACCAGGTACTGCACGTATTAGATAGTATATAGCTGGCTTCAATTTCAAGTTTGTGGCTTCAGTTACAATTAAGATGGAGCTTCGTCTCCATGTACTTTGTTTTGTTCAATGAGTGTGTCATAACAATATTTTTGATCAATCTGTGATGCCTATTGTATGATTGTGCTGGATTATATTAAAAGAAAAACAGAAATCACCATATTTTCCTCTGACAGCAGCAGAAAATATGATCTTACATAGTACTTCCAATCCTGCTAATTATAGTTTTTGACTGAGACTCATTACATCTTGCTACATTATGCTGATCCTCCTCTTTCTCCTCTAACTAACCACCCTATCACTATTTTCTAGTAATGAATCGGGTCCTCCCTCCCTAACTTCTTATCAAGCTCCCATAGCTCAGCTTTTCCTACCCCTCCACGTGCACTTTTATAAATACAAAGATTAGCACTTACTTTTGCCTGAGGATGAAAACTCCCACAAGCAGCCCTACAAACAGCAGAACTCCAAAAACAATGGAAACTATGACTCCATCAGAGAGAGCTCCCGTGTCTGCAGAGACAGAGAGACAGGCCATATCATGCAAAAGACCAAGATCTACTTCACTAGAACATAGCCAGCAACATCTAGCAGCCAGTGTTACTAGACAAGCTATGGTCATTGGCCATCCAAGCAGCAGAGCTACCAGACTTGCGTCCTGTGACGCTGTTGTTCATGTGCATCATGAATTTTCAGGTGGATATGTGGTTGAGACTCACCTATGATGCTGATCTTCTACTTCAGTAATTTATCCCTATGTCTGATTTAGCTTTCAAATAAGCCCCACGTGGGTTGGAGTAGAGAACACCGGAGGTCTTTTCCCACATTCCTCCATGACACTTTAAAAAAGCCCAAGGACTGTTGTTTCTTCCCTCACCCCTTCCTTTCCAACTACTCTTTCAGGTTAAATCCTTCCTCCTCTTCAGTAGCTGATTTAGAGTATAGGACTATGACATAAATAAGAAAAGAGTTTCTCAGGCAGTCCAGCTTGCCTAATTTCTTGTTTATGCAATTCATTCTGGTTTTCCCTTCCCTCACACACCAAGATCATGGTTTTACTTTGCTGACTAATTAATTTGACAGAAAATCCTGGCTACTTAGCAGGAACTGACTTATAAATTAAAAATCTAATGTCACGATCCTACTTTCTCAAAATTCACAGATGGTTTCATTTTGTGTTTGCATAGTGATCAGGTAATTCGAATTGTCTTCTTCTTTTGTATTCTCAAGCTAAAGCTGTTAATTTCCATACTGTATATTTGAGTTTAACAGAACAAACGCTAAATAGCATCAGTTCTTAAACCATATTTATCATAATTTTAAAGAAACTTTAAAATATTTTAAAAATAAAAATCTTTTATTCTTACATAATGCTTATCTATATATATGTATATATGTATATATATATACATAAACATGTCTTGTAACATGTCCTTATCTTATCAAAAACTCCTGGTATCAAAAAAAGCAATCTTAAATGCCATTCCAACCATGGTGACAAAAGTTCTTATTATCTTTTACTCATATAACTATTTAGTAATGTTAAATTTTGTCTTTGATTTCTTCTGAGTCTTTGTTCCATTAAAATAAAACTGGCCTTTCTTAGGCATCATTCCAACTAACATACTTCTGTAATCACTAGGAACATCCATAGGATGAAAAGCAGGATCTGTGAATACATGGAATAAAGACAGAGGAAGTTCCATTACAGAAGACTTTTAAGAATGGGGAAATTTCTGGAAAATAATGTTAAAAGAATAGTTCCACAGTAATCCTGGAAAAGGGGAGATTTGATGTGGTCTCTGTACAGAGAGGTGTTTCTTGCGGCTTCAATAACTTGGCCTTCTGCATTTTGTAGTTTGGGAAAAAACTTTTTTCAGAAGCATTTACCATCTTTTAGGCGGAGCCATCACTGGGATTACATTCAAGGGCTTGGTTACATACAGTGGAAATAAGAAAGCTGGAAAGAAATTGCCTTGAAGTTTTTTGAACAATTTGAAAAAAAATCTTTTTTGCTAACACTCAAAATTAGGCACATTACTAGCCAGAATTTAAAAATAGTTCAGGAGAACTAGATGAAGAGACATAATTAAACAGTACATTATGTACAGAGTACATAATTAAGCAGTACATTACACAAATCTGAAAGAAATCAGCTCCAAATGGAAGAGTATTTGGTATGACCGCAAAGGAACAGCCTAAATGTCTCCCTGTTCTGTATTTTTACAAAGCAAGAGGCTTGTCCCATTTGACGGGGAGCTCATGAGTGTGGTTGCTTTGTCTTACAGCTAGTAGAAGACCAAAAGAGGTCCGTCTACCATGTGCACAATCTGATGGCGTAGTGGGTTTATCAGAAATTAGAAACTAGAGGTTGTATCTCACCTGGTGGAAGGGTGCGAAACTCTTGCTCCTGGGAGTATGGTCCAGGCCCAAGGGGTGTGATGGATCTCACACGAAGAAGATAGGCTGTGTCAGGCTGCAGGTCTGTCAGAGTGACATTTGGCTCGAGAAGGTGCTTCACTGTGTAACGTGCCTCCTCTCCCTGAAGGAATCAGAGTCAAGTAACACACATGCATGGAACAAGCAGGATACTTTCCCACCTTTAGGTGAAAGGGGAAGAACAGAGGAGGCAGTTCTCACCTTCTCAAAGAACATGACCTCATACTCCACTGAGGTCCGGCTGCGCTGCCGTGGAGCGAGCCAAGAAATGGACAGACTACTGTCATCTCTCTGTGTCAGGATAAACTGGGACACTGTCACTGGAGCTGCAGAGGGAGAACAGAGAATATCAGAGGAAATACAAATGTAATGCAATCTAGGCCCTCCCTTCACCTGAGGCTTTATCCTTCCTATTCTGGTCATGCAACTGGAACTAACTCTTACTGCCACTGCTAAATTTCTGTTCCATTATCTTTCTTGAGACAATTGAAAGGGAAATGAGATCTTCAGTTGTAAATACTTGTTTTGAATACACCAATAGTAGAAGCATAACTCTGTTTGACCCCCAAAACAAAATCAGGGTTCTAAGGAATTATATTTAATGCAACACTGTATTGAAAGTGTTCAGCTTGAAATCAAGATGTAAAGATTTTCAGCTCTTAAAGCAGCACTACTCTCCTATACGATATATGAATGCAACTCCTTGTCAGAAAAGAGCTGACTATGAGATTCCACATTCAAAAATTTCTCAATTGACTGCAAATGTGCCATGTTCTTGATTTTTTTTAAAAAAAAGGAAAAAAAAAAGTAATTCTTAATGGTCTGCAGGAACTGAAAAGTCAAGTCTGTCACTTTCCTTAGTTTTCATAATCACTACAAAGTGATGGAATGACCCAAAAAGTAGCTCCAGGTGTTAGAGGTTAGGGGTTAGGGTTAGGGTAGGGTTAGGGTTAGGGGTGAGGGGTGAAGGGTTAGGGTTAAGGGTTTGGGTTTAGGGTTGGGGTTAGGGTTTAGGGTTAGGGGTTATGGTTTAGGGTTATGTTAAGATAGATCATAATTCACTTTCCACTTTTATTTTGAAGTGTTTTTATATGCATAAAATACATCTCCCCCTTCTAATAATCTTCTGTTAGGGGTTAGGGTTTAGGGCTAGGGGTTAGGGTTAGGGGTTAGGGGTAGGGTCAGGATCAGTGTTAGGATTTAGGGTTTAGTGTTAGGGTTTAGGGTTAGGGTTAGGGTTTACGGTTAGGTTTAGGGTATAGGGTTTAGGGTTAGGGGTAAGGTTAGAGCTAGGGGTTAGGGTTTAGGGTTAGGGTTAGGGTTGGGTTGGCCAGAAAGAAAGGTAGAAAAAACTCCTATTCTGTCACTAAATCAAAATTGTGTACCAAGGCCTGTTGAGCACTTACATGTCACTTTTCCACAATCATGTTTCACAGCACACTGTAAAGTATTTACAGGACAGTCAAACTAGCCAATTTCCAACTAAGCTATACATAAATCTGTCAGGGAGAACTGATAATTTTTAGCACCCTCATTTCGCTCTGCTTGAAAATGTTTACTTTTCAGTTACATCAGGATTTCTATTGTTTGGTTTGATTTTTTTTCAAGATCTAAATCACAAGAAATATTTCTTGCCACAGGCCCTCTTCCTCCTAGGACACAGTGAACAAGCCAGTTGGACTACAGCAGTATATCACAGGGAGTGCTTTGTCCTCCTTGCCTTTGTAAAATTCTTGGTATATTCATAGCTCTTGGTGAGCTTTTTTTTTCTGCTGCTTTGACTGGCAAGCAGTATGACTGATAGGCTTTAAATGTCAGAGGCAGGGGTACCTTAGATTACCTGAGTCATACCATGCTATTACATGCAGAAGACAGAAGGAAAGATGGAGCAATCTTAAAAAAAAAAAAAAAATCTTTTCCTGATGCACAAGAGGAATTTCTCTCTGTTTTTGCTAACCTGCATGTCCAACCGCAACCCAGACAGCTGGAGTAGTCCTCTGTGAAGCAGGGCCCATTCCTGAGACGCCATTATGGGCTTCCACAGCAAATGTGTAGTTGGTATAAGCTTCTAGGCCTTCCACATCCACAGCAGGTTTAGTGAGACCAGAAGCACTGGGGGAGAAGACCACACCAGCCTCACATGGCTCACATGCCAGGAAAAGACAGCGCTGACAGAAGACTGTGTAAGTCAGGTCCTTCCGCCCACCATGGTCACTGGGTGGCTGCCACCACAGGCTGAGCTGAGTGCCAATGAGGGAGAAGCTGACATTACGAGGAGCTGAGGGAGGGCCTACAAGAAGCATGGAAGAAACTATTAGATCCAGTTAGTAATACCCAAAGTACCGAGGCAGTTTCCCTTCTGCTAACGCATTTCAAATGTTCTCCCTCTGATTTGTTAACCTCTCCCTCCCTGGTCTCTCATCCCCATTTCCCAACACTTCATTTCCTCTAATTTTCTCATTATTTATTTATAGCCTTGACTCACGGGTGCAAGCAATGTTCTGGCCTTCCAAAGGTGCCCGGTAGAAGCCTGTGTTGCAGGAACAAGATGTAGCCCCTGACTCATTGGATGAGCTGTTTGGGGGACACTTCAGGCAGTGGTTAGTCTCCAGGGAGTGACGGTAGAATCCTCGCTTGCAAGCTGGTAGAGAGACAGATGAATTAACTAAGGTCAACAGAAACCATCTGCCTTTTTTTTTCAACTTCTTAAGCATTCCTTTATTTTCTTGCTCTCTTTTCTTTCCCATTCTCTCAGATCATATGAAAACTCAGATTGGCAGAGGCTCCTGGAAGTCACCTAGACAAGCCTCCTAATGGGAGCAAAGAGTAGATGAAAATTCAAGGTAGGATCAACGTTATGGTAGGATCTGTAGACTGCAGATCAAGGAATCTCATTCCTCAGGGATATTATATGAAAACAGAAGCTGGTCAGCCCTAGAAATTCCATTTACAACCTAAACTCAGGCTCTTCTTCAATTTACCCCTCCCAGCTTTCCTTGTACTCCCGAGAATCCTCTGCATACTGAAATCTTAAGTGGAAGCCTGGGGCTGTATAGCAGAATCATGTTTCCTGTTTTTTCTAGTGTTATACCAGGGCATTACCTAGCAGGGCCTTGGAGAACATCCAGCTAATATCAGTTCACCTAACAGCACTGAATGCAGCTGCTCATGGAGCCAACACAGACTGCAGAAAACACATGCCATGTGCTTCCTGTAAAAGTAAGCAGCTACATCCTTCTCTAGCTGTAACATCTGATGCTCAGTCTTTACTGCACTGTTATTAGCTTGAGTTAGAGAAGCTCTGAACTGTCTGCCTCTCTCTTCAGCTATCTTAAGAGTAATGTTCCACTTCTGTGGGAGGGAAATGAATACGGCAAGCTGCAGTATCCTGCAAATTTGATGTTTTATCGACTTGTGAGGAGCAACTAAATGAATACCAAATGTCCTTAAACTAAAAGCAAACAAAAAGTTATCACTAACCAGATGGCAGAAGAATGGATAAACTGATATTCTGCACAGGCTGCTGCCTTACATTTAACATCAGCATAGAAGAAATGAACCTTTTCACACTGCACTATAACAGCAACAATATTCTGTGTAATCCCTCAGCACATCCCAATGAAGATGTTCCAAATTCATTAGCTCAGAATCCAGACAAAAATGACTGTGTTGAGACAGTGTGAAAATAGTCTTTTATAGAGGAAATTAAAAAGAAATACCCAGCTACTCTAACTCTAGGGACCTAAAAACAAAGGCCAGTCACAACTCCTCTCCATTAGTCTGAGAAGAGTCACCATACATGGAGACCTCTCTCTAGATTATCATGAGAGAAGTGGTTCCACGTCATTCCTGTTGGTTCTCTCTTTTGTCCTCAGATGGCAGGAAGACTGCAGAATATGTAACCTACGGGTTACATATTAATGTCATCACACAACCATCTCACCAGTATAAATAGGCCAAAAGGATGTGAACCATGAAAAAGAACAGATAATCATAAGAAGTATAAGCAACCAGATCACAAAAGGTATAAGCAACCAGCGCCTTCTGAGCTCCGGAAACAATAGACCACTTATGAAACAGTCTATCATCCTTAGCTTCGAATTGCAAAGGAATCACGCAACTATGTAGCTGTTTAAACATCTACAAGGCTCAAGCATTGATTCTTACAAGTAAACTTTGTAGCAGTGAAAACAGCACAGTCTTGAAGAAGTTGAGCAATTTTTTCAGAGGACGGGGATTAGGAAAATCTGAAGCTGAGAGGTTGCTTGTTGGATATGGAACTGGTAGGTACCAGCTGGCTGAAACCCACCAGTGCCAATGTTCACTCTTTCTCTTTTCTCCACACACTTACACTAGGAAAGGAATCACCAGCCCAAACAATCATTTATATTCTACTTAATATCACTTCCTTCAGACACAGGCAGTAAAAAAGCATTATTTGGGTCCCTAAACCACTCTTGACTAAAAACTTCTGTATGGTAGACATGAAGAAAACTCTGTGACCATTGCTCCAGATTTCAAATTTCCTGACAAGGGATCAGTCTGGAGTGGGAGAACATACACACCAACAATATGAAAAGCAAAACAAGAGTAGAGCCACAGATAAATATAACACAGATATATCTGCTTAATATCCAGCTAAGACAAACTTGGAAAGGCAGTTTGGGTCTAGGAATCTTTCCAAGAAGACTTAGTTCCTACCCCAAGATATCCTCCAAAGCTTTCCCCTGTTCCACCCATCCTGAACACTATTCCAGGCCCTCAGTCCCCATCTGTTGCACAGACTAAAACCAACCAGGGCTTCTGCTTCACTCGACAGTGGGGGTAAATTCCTTCAAGTGGGATAGCTAATTTAGAGGCACACAGTAAGCCTACCAGTGAGAGACAGTGCAGGGAATTGCACGAGGGACATCTGGGTGAGGGATAAACCTAGGAGGTAACAGAAAACACACCAGCCAGCCTGAACGGTTCCATGCCTAGAGAAGACTAAGGTAAACTAAGCGGGACCAGGGTGCAGGCTGGACTCATAGCACACGCTGCCTGTGGTGTTTAGGCACTACCATGCTTCCTGTTAGTTTGGGTTGCAGCCTCCGCCCCAAGTATGTTTAGGGGGATAGGACAGCAAGAGGCTGATCCCACCGGGCCACGGGCCCGTCGGTTTCAGCGGGGGTGAAGAGGCCACACCTCCCGGCCGGAGGAGCGGGGGACACAGCGGAGGCCCGGAGCCAGAGGGGCCCCGGG